CGCTACACACGAAACGTTTCCTGTTTCTCATTCAATAGCCTACGCTAATACTACAATATGCAAAATATGAATGAAACAGATAAAAACTCCGTATGTGGTTTTTCTATGCAAGTTTATAAATGAATATGAAATATTCTGTGATAAGTTTAGGTTAAGACTATTTTTAATGGATTAAATAAATCATAATTATACAAAATATATTTTAGGAATGTTCTAAATGAACATCAATGAAACCCAAGAAATGAGACTTTAAAATTGAAGGATTAAAACGTTTAGAAATGATGTTTCCTTTGTAGTTATTACCTCTTTACAATATGACTAGCTACACTGGATAGAATCTTGGCTTAAATATTCAGCACACTCTTTGTGTGCTTGTATCTATATTGTGTGTACAAAAGGAGAGTGTGTTATCTCGTCACTACGAGTAGGTATAGTTACGAAACTAAATCGCTTAGATTTTTTTTCGTTATTGGATAATTTAAGAAAATTACTTACAAAAACTATTGTTAAAACGCAGACCAGAAAGGCAAATTTCATTATTATCAGTGACAAATTCCCCAGTCTACTATAAAACTTCTTTTCATTTAACAAATATTCCATTGATATGTAAATACATACATACTTAATACATGTCATTGCTTTATCTTCAAATAATAATATTTTTTTATAACAAACTATATATGTAAGTGTATCGTCATAAAAGCTTATCGTATATTATAATACACTTTCATCTCCTCCACTCTGAACACAGCGCTGACACAGGACAGGCACGTCGAAAATATAATCGATTACGCCTCCGCTTTAAAGCTATGAATATTTTAACCGATCCGCATGATTGACTCATTGTTAAGATTTGGTGTCATAAGATGAACTCTCATGTTTGATCCGGAAAGAAAGTGAACTATTGTTGTACGAGTCTTACCTACTCTTCATAAAGTGCCATTTGGATACAGGGATTATCTGCTTACAAATTTAAATGAGACATTTTTTTCTTTTATCAGTATACACACGGCTTGAATTCTATTCAAGTATAAATAAGCAGTGCCAGGCAGTCTATTTTTATCGATTCAATTATTTCACAGGTTCCTAACTATAAAAGTTTTTATCTCTATCGAATTGGATGGCTACGTTTTAACAACAGAAAAATTGGTTTGAGGAAAAAAGTGAGTACGCGGAAATATGTGAGGTCGTGGGTAGCGGGTGCTGTGTCAAGTGTCATGGGCAGGAATGGCCGGAACTCATCGAGTTCAAAAGGCACGACCGGCGACCAGCTATTGTCCGCCATCGCACGACGAGACGAATCACATCGCAGGCCTCATGACCCACGTCAACGCGGTCACGAAACTATCTTAAACTAAAATACTGTAAAAACGACGCTAAAAACTCTACCTGTGTTTTCCCACGAAACCAATGTTAAATGAAGCTGTTTCGATTCACCTGACCTAGACTGAATGATAGATGTAAAAACATAGTCTAGCAACTTTGTGACTTTTAATCTAAATATATTCGACATAAAGAATTATGAAATATGCAATGTAGAAATGCTTGAGGTAATCATCACGGTCCTACAAAAAAAGGATTGAAACCTTGGCCTTAGTAACAAGATAGACCCCCGTTGCGCTTAACTTTCTGACGATATTAAGTACTAGACAAACCAGGTATCATACTTAAATATAATACTCGTGGCATAATAACGACGATATTGAAAGTAGATAAAGACTAATACTATTAAGTGCTTACTTTTACATACGTGACTGTTTATTTTTTAATATTCGGTCTGCAGTGTTACCAGAAGTTTGAAACGTCACCCTACACATGGAGTGTGTCCAAGTTTTTTGTGCGAAGATATGAGCATGAAAAACAAAGAAACTTGTGGCAAGAGTCCTGCAAATTTCAACTTTTATAGAACAGTTCAAGAAATAAATAAGCAATATTAGAAAATTTACCTCATAAGTAAATTAATATGGAAAGTAGTACACAGTGACAACTGACATACAAAGAAGAAACGTAAAATTTATGAATACGTACGTATGAAATATTCCAAAAAAAGTTATTCCTTTTTACAAAAACTATTTTTTTTTACTTCTAGATTGCTTTTATTTAAAAGTTTCTTACGATGAAACAATGTCAAAAAAGCCATGGAAAATTAAAATCTCTCTAACAACTTCCCATTTTGTCCATTCATTACATAACTTACAATCGGTTTTAGAACCCATCCCCTTAACAGGTTACTTTGTTATGTCAAAGGTGGAAAAACGAGCAGACGACCTACTTTAGATGGACAGTAGTGACCGTCGCCCATGGATATTCGCAACATTAGGGATGCGTTGCCAACCTTGATTGATGAGGAAAAGGGAGGGGTGGGAACCGGGGAAATAACAGGAAAGGGAGGGAATAGGGAAAAGGCTCTCTCACTCATAAGATGAGACGCAGCCACTAAAGGCTACTTCACGCCGATCTTTCTGTGACAGGGTGGAACTTCCCCGGTCGAGCCAGCCCATGTTCGTACTGTAGTAAACTTGGCTACAGCTAGGCTCTACCACCTACTCTATCAAATCATTTGTTTAATAAATTAATTTAGTTCATTTTTTGTAACCTTATGGTTATACTCGCTACAATATTAATTGTATTATAGAAATACTAAACTCATTATGATAATATTTTGAGTTTTTTCCCAATTTAAAGAGATGATACCTACTTACCAACGAGACAATAAAAATCCAAAGCATGTTATTTTTTTAACTTAGTAACATAAGATATATCAGGAATTTAGAATTAAAATGCAACTTTATTATACAAAAACTAAATACAAAAATAATAATGAGTAATAGAATTTTGAACTGTATATATTCTATAAAAATTGAGCTTGTATTCAGCGCCATCTAGTACAGTTTTCTGACACTACTTGGTTTAAGTGAGGAGTAAGGTTGGTGCGTATGAAATAGGTATTCTCTTTACATGCGGACGTTTTGTCTCCCTGTTTTCGTTATACTTTTGTCTTAGGCATAACCTCATTCACAGTCGTATTGTCCATTGCCAGAGGACTCATTTCAGTAAAATAGGTTTTCTCGAAGGTCTTCCCTTTTGTATTTCTTTTGAATTTATTGCCGATATGAATTCTGTCGACATTCGCGTCATTGTCTTATATGAGTACAAACTTGGTAATAGTGCTGCAAAAGCTGCACGCAACATAAACCAAGCGTTTGGGAAGAATACGATTAACGATCGGAAAGTGCAGCGTTGGTTCAAAAAAATTTCGGACTGGCGATTTTTCACTGCAAAATGAGCCGCGCGGAAGACCCAAAACGTCTGTGAAGAATGACGACCCTGAAGGCTCTAGTGGAAGCGGATCCAGCCGTATCCACGAGGGAACTTGCTATCAGGATGAAAGTTGACCATACAACGATATTGAGACACCTTTCTGAGATTGGCAAGGTTAAGAAGATGGACAAGTGGGTACAACGCTCGGCCACATACATCGCACAAAACAATTCCGAAAACTGAACGGACTGGAATATGAAGTTTTGCAGCATCCACCATATTCACCGGATCTCTCGCAGACCGATGTTCATTTTTTCAAGCATTTAGCTGTTTTAAGGGCAAATACTATGAAATTAAGACAGTCTAAAAAACTCGATATCAGAGTTTATTAATTCTAAAGACCAAAATTTTTTTAAGACAGGCATCTACTCTTTAAAATCTCGTTGGGAGAAGTGTATTGAAGCGAATGGAGCATACTTTGATTGAATAAACAGTTTTTGAAGAAAGATATGCAGTTTTATACAATCACTTAAGAATCCGACATTTCATACGCACCAACCTAATATTATTTTATGTTTCTAGAACTAATAACGTAAAATTACAAAAGTAAATAAGATATTACTTTTCCTGCTTCTAGGATTTTTTATTTAGAATATGTTGCCAATAAAATAATATATAAATGGGACTTATAATACTTATAAAACTACCTGACTCTAGAGACAAATAAAACAAGATGTATCAGATATAATTGTGCCAATTACTTAATCTTATTGGTACCACATTTTATCAAAAAAAAAAAAGGCATACTACATCCATTATTTACTTTTACTTAATACACATGGAAATAACTATTTAAAAAAAAACAATTTTAATATACCACATAAATTTTACCTTATACTAAAATATAGGTATTATAAAGTTTCATCAACAACAATATAAAACATGTAACTATTACTTCTGTAAATACTTTTAATATCAATGATAAAAATAGTTTTTAGTTTTTAACTTAAGTGTTAACTCAATACTTTTTCTACAACCAAAAGTGAATATAAAAATTAAATTTAACTTACACCAAAACATTTATTACAACTACACATTAATAGCAATAATTAATTTGTATTTTCATAATCTAGTTATAATAAAGAATATAAATTTCTTTAAGGTACTTTTATTAATAAAATGATAATTTATATTTCATTTCATTCCGACTTGTTCTTCACGGTGTACAGGATTTGATTTGTTTTGATAAATCAGGTACAGGGCACTTACAAAAACAGCATTCGCTCTGAAAACAAAAGCAAAGAAATGTGTTTAAAAATAATTTTAGCTAATTTATATTAGGTGATTAAGAATTATTTCATTAGCATTTTTACGCAACCAGCTTATAAAGAAATAGGAATTAATTTAGTCATAATGTTGTTGTTATATAATTAACAAAGTTACATTATTAAGAAGTATATTAAATTATATTTGTATAAAAAACAAAAAAAAAAAAAAGTATGTTCATTGGTTCACTTTTTGTACTTTTATAACAAAAATTTCACATAATTAAAAGCATGTAGGTCATATTTATGTTGTACATACTGTCCCTCCTTGAAATACTCCTTTAATGTGTTTTGAAAATCTTTTAGAATATTTGACAAATTCCCTTTTTCTCTGCTCGAGAGCTTGCTTTCCTGGTCCTGGGGTATATGTTGACACTTCATTCACGGCATCAAGTAATTTTTTTATAGCTGAAGCTATTTCCCTTGAATACAGAATTATGGTTTTAGCTGAGAAGTAAATACTATCAATAATAATAAATGTTTAAACCAATTACAGATAAGATAATGTACATGTCCATACACAATTTTTTTTATATTATACTCTTAATTCCTATGTTTATCTTCAAAATATTACATTTTATCTTCAATAAGTAAATATTTTTATCTCACTTGATAGTTTTTCAAGGAATGTTTTCCGGTCTGTAATCTCATCGGGAATCCTACTGAGAATTTTCTTCAGTGAGGCAGATTTCTTGTTTAATTCTTGAAAAGCTTCTTCTGATCTGTTCAATTTAAGGTCTACGCCTATTTATATCAAAAATAAAATAAATTAGTAAGTACAGTAACTGTCACAAATAATTTGTATAAACAAAAATAACACCAACACTTATATGTAAGATACTGTTTACAAATTCCCAAGACAAATCATACTTACATTCAGCATCAGTGAGTGTCCCCTTGAAGACGAAGTAAACTTTCGTTCATATTAACAGGAATATCAGCTCTTCTCATAATACCAGCGACCAGATCATAGTTAAGTCCTGGTACAGCAGCTTCAGCCTTGGTAAGAGCAGCTCGCAATGTTTGTGAGGCTCCCAAGTCATATATTTTTCTAACTACAAATTCAAATAATATAAAAAACTTGCAACGCACTCAAAATTTATTTTGCAATATATTAATTACCTGAGTCAGAACAGGGCGTATAAGAACAGGTAAAACTAAAGAAGTGACAGGTAATTCATCACCCATTGTCATTATGGATATCGATTTGATACCTCTTCTAAGTGAAATATTATTACTCTTGCAAAACTGTGGTCAAGTAAAAATATAATTAAATTAATCCCATGTATATAAGGGCTACAAAAATCAGACTACCTATTTCACACAGCAAAGTACAGTTCGTAACAAATTACAAAACTGTTCCAATTGCTAAACAGTTGACAGCTGTCAGAATGGGTTAAAAAAAACTATAAGGACAGAATGCAATCATGGTCCCTTTTGTATTTTCTGTGTTGGATCATGGATGACTACTGTTATGTGGTTCTTATATTTTATTAAATATAATAATGCTCTTTGTAAAACGTTACTAATATATCAAATTATATTTTCATGTGTATCATGGCACGCTCAACTTATATTTTTCATGCATTAAAAAAATATTTGAAATGAAGGATTTATCTTAGAATTATTAATTTTACTGAATATTGAAGTAATTATCAGTATAAAATATATTTTAAAACCTACCTAAACTACAAAAAAGGGTACCTGACGTAACGGAAGTCATCTATTGTCAATTGTCAAACCGGTAGACAGTGACATATTGTGACTTGTTAATTAGTTTGATGCAAAAGTCCCAAAAGTGTATATAAATTATCATTGAACAATGGCTAAGAATACATCTAATTCAGCCTTCCGTAAAAATTGATATTGATCAATATAAACGAAGACAACTTTAAAGAAGATGAAATCCGATCAGGCAGTACCGACAGGACCAGACGAGGGGGAAGTGTGTGCATTACTCAAACCAATATCCTTTTAAATGATTCATTATGTTTATGAATATTCCCATATCATAAATTCGTATATGATTGGCAATATATTTAACTATAGGTGTAATAATATATACAGTTTGAAATCAAAAATCACATTGCATCATTTAACTATTTTATATATCTACAATTTATTCTAAAATAGTTACAATAAAAGCGAAACAATTATATTTGAAACATTTTCCTTTGAGTGTCAAAAAATATGCTATGTTTGTTACTTTGCTTAAAGTTATTACATAAACAATACATAGTAATTTAAAGAGAATTACAAATAGTGTCTTGATAGCCATGTACCTAATTCAGTAATGAAACTAAACCATTTATTTTAATCACTTGAGTAAAAATTGGTGTTAAATGGACAAATCTCTATTAAAGAAAAACATTGTGGGTTAAAATCAGATCATTTTATACACAAATAAGATGATAGGCTTATTTCTGTGTGTGTATATTTATATTGCAAAACTGTTCAAATTTTTCAACAAATTTTATAATATGTGTGATTTTTTTGATTTGTTTTTTAAACATTACTTGAAAAATTTAATTCCTTACATAAAAAAATACAGGTCAATACATTGAAGCTTTAAAACATGTTCTAAATAATGCACCTCTAGGTACATCGGACCAACAAATCAAGGTACTGCACAGTTCAAAATGATTTCTTGACTACAAAATATATATGATTTATATAAGTAACAATTTCACTTCAACATTTTTTTATTTCAGGACAATGCATTAGCACTCACCCTGAAAGTATTACTTGCTATCAAGTCTGTTCAAATTGAAGAAGCCGTTGGAAAGCCTGTCCTTAGATGACATAGATATTCTCATGAAATACATCTACAGGGGCTTTGAATCTCCATCGGAAGGTTCAAGTGGACATCTCCTGCTATGGCATGAAAAAGCCTACAATGTGGGAGGAGCGGGTTCTATCGTAAGAGTTCTCTCCGATAGGATGAAAGTTTAAATTTTGTATAATTCCATGAAATATAATCAACACTTAATGTAAAATTATTGTCTATTAAAATGCTTAAAACCACATTGTTAATTTATTTCATTTAAATTATGTATATTCTAATCATGACAAGGTATTATTTTTCTATATCCAGTTCAGGTACCTGTTGTTACTGAGGCAGCCTTAACTATTTTAGTTATGAGGATTTTAATAGTTTATAGTTATAATTATAATCTGAAATTTTAATTAGGTTATACCTGTACTGGAGCTTACGCAATTAACTTTACCGAAGATTTTAAATAAACATCAAAATTCCACATTTTCATTAACACTAGTTTAAATATGTAATTTAATAATTTAAGTACTTATATACAGGGTGACTGGTGAATTACTATCGATATTTGAGGACGTGGTAGTTGACGATCATATATGACAAAATAAAAAATTAATATAACATAAATATTAATAAACTTCTAAGTAAAGTTAACCAAAAGTTATGTAATTAATTACGCATCGTGTGAACACCCTACAGATTAGGTATACACACACACTCACACATACGCAGCGGGGGCGTGGTTTTGTATCAGCACGCCGCCGTACGCGTCCACACTAGGAACACTTGGAACGTGTCAACACTTTATTTATTTATACGGAAATTTTGTCAAAAATTAAGTACCTATTTTTTTTACATAATTCGAATGAGAATCATGTACCGAGTATGCTCCTTAAATATTGATAGTAATTCACCAGTCACCCTGTATACATATTTGAATTTCAGTTTAAATAACATGAATGATATTTTTAGTTGAATAGTGTTATTTACGCTCATGTACTATTGACATCAGCTAAAGTTTTCTTACAGTCATTATGATTATCTTTATATATATAATTCAGAATTCTTCTGTGAGTGTGTATGTCACTGATCTTCTCTGAAACGACTGAACCGATTTTGATAAAAAAATTAGTGTGTGTTTCAAGGGATCTGGAAATGGTTTAGATTCACAATTTTGTCCGTTGGACAATGTTTTTTTAATTTATTAGTAGTTGTTGATTTTGGAATGTTTTACATTGGATCCGACAGACGGTGCTACCATCGCAGTGTCAAATTTTAAATAATATTCGAATTTTAATTTAGTCTGTCCCGACAGTGAGCGCTGCGATCAAATTAAAAAAAAGTTTTGTTCAATCATTCTGTCGCACTTCAAAACACGGAGACTTATGGCTTAAAAGTAAACTCCAAAAATATAAATAAGAAAACGTAACAGATATTTCTTGATTTTAGAGTGATACGAAGTTCGCCGGGTCTTCTAGTTTATTTATATATTTATGATGAAGTTAATATAATCTACTAAACTGAGTTTATACTTGTTTTGGTTTTGGTTGGTCTTGATATCAGAAACGATTATTTTAGTATATTGTTTTCGTGTTTATTTATTAACCTGCAAACAACTTCCTTTCCGAAGAGTAGGATAAATTGCCGCTGAAGGTATTTTAAAGCTCAACAAATTAAATCATTGTCTTTGAATTAAAATAGAAAATTATTAAGTTCTGTTAGAGTTTATTATTCAATATTTAAGTTGCTGATAAGCTATTAAAAGGATTTTGCTATTGATGGTAACAGTACGTACCTATAATAACACACTTCACTCCTGTTACGATTTCTTGTTTGTCATCGAGTTCGTTCGTCGAATACATTTCGTTCGTTCTAATTTAGTAAAAGACATTAAAGGTAACACAATAGTAGGTGTTAATAGTTAATAATATTTATTCTCATTTCAATTCCAAAAATTCTTAAAACTTAATACTTTCATCAAACTTAATTATTGTTAAAAAGATAGAAATGAAATTACATGGCTGCTAGATCTCTTCCCCCTCTATCTACTGAATGCCTCTCCCTAATTAAGAATCAATTACTAGAAACATCTATATCTAACTTTGTAAAGCTATCAGTTTTTACCTTGACTTCGATAAATATTCATTATTTTTTGAGTATTTTTGATTAATGAACACGCAAATACTTCAAAATTACCATTTATTAACAAAATATTTTTAGCGAGACAATTATATACCTATACAACAAGAGTCTTCCTTTCTTTCTGGACGAGATAACTCTCGTCGTCAATTAACTTATTCAAAGTATAGAAATGCGTTTTTACGTAATTAATAAAAACAAATAAAGTGTACGTATGTATAAGAATTCTAAGTAAGTATCTAATTAGGTGAATGAAAATGTATGAAATTAATATGTATTTGTCACAATATAAATAAAATGCGAAGGGAAGTAGGTCATGAAAAACATTTTCGTGCTAAAAGGGTTATCGTATCAAGATGTTGAAAATTATTCCTACATAGCGGTGAATAGTTTAAACACCAAGTAGTTTCATTAATTCTATTTTTACTAGATAAAATAAAATTTACACTTAAAAACAAATATACCTATGATATAAATTCACAAGATTCTAGAGATAGAATGTGTATTTTTTAAATATTGTTTTTAAAAGAGTAACTTATTATATAAAATATTTTTTCTTTAGTTTTAGACAAAAGTCCGTTAGGTAAAATTTATATCACAAAAACTAGTAAAACTACTATGCATATTCTATTAAGAATATAAATTGCATCTTACAACTATTAAATAATATCAGGAAGTTATTAAGATGTTTCAAGATATATAGACTGCCTTCCGCAGGTCTAATAAACGTTTCCATCCAGTTATTCAATACACTACAATAGTGAATGTCCCGCGCTTAAGCTTTAACTAAGTCTAGCGTCGAAGAAAGTAATCGCAGCCCAGCTCGACCAGCCTCAGAGAAGGTGCTATATAAAGCAACAGCGAGCACCTGTTTACGAGATAGTTTGTGTTTTACCTCCGACTTACGTTCACTCACCACAATGGAAATATCGGTTAGTACCTATCAGTTTTTTGTTCATCTATTTCTTGTCACTGTTACCGTGTTGTCCATTTAGATGGAGAGTTGCTCAAACCGGAAGGTCTTGTGACATAATTTTTACATAACTCTTTTAAAAATGTCAATAATAAAAAAGAGTACTACTAGAAATAGGTCACAGATGATTTAACAATAGATACATACATCTTAGGTTTATTGATGCCTATGAGAGCGTAGTATAACGAACACTAGTAGGTGCATAAGTGAAGAATATCTTTATATTTCAAATAATATTAATATTAAACGAATAGGTATTGCAAGGCTTTTAATGTAAGACTGCCTTCCAGGAAATAATATCAAATCTCAATCTGAATCTGATCAACTTATTTTGAACTTTGATTTAGGTACTTAGAAAATTTTTATTTATTTTAAAAACATACAAGTTAATGTGATATTGTAAAGATGTATTTCTATTGTTTTAGAAATCATTGATATTATTGTGCTGTGCCACATTATGCATTGCATCTCATCACGAGGGCCACGTAATACCCGTAGAAGGATACGAAACTGAACTGCAAAATTTAGGAGAACACGTGGAAATACCTGAAACACCTGTAAAAGTTATCAAGATTACCAAGACGGTAGCTGTTAAAGTCCCCGTGCCTTATCCTGTTAAAGTCTATGAAAAGGTTCCGTATCCAGTTCACGTAAACAAACCTTACCCAGTACCCGTGCCGCAAATAATAAGAGTACCTTATGACCAACATGGTCCCCAAATCCCTCACGGCCACGAGGCTCTGGACATAGGACATAACGGCCAGTTTCACAACCAAAATAACGAGAACTCTTATCAGGTTCAAGAGAACCAACACGATATTCCCAATTATGGCGATTCAATAAACAATGTGTATGAGCGCGACGACTCTGGCAATGGAAATAATTTCAATGTTGAAGAATCCCACGGCGGCTTTTACGGCCAACCGTCACAAGAGTATCATGAACCCCTGAATGATCCTGACCAAAATACTTATGAGTCCAAGAACTACAACTTGGCTATACAGAATTACCTTAACCAAATGAATCACCGAGCTCATTGAATATATTAAATTAAGAAGCCATAAAAATTTCGACTAAATATTTGAAATACAACGTTTTCATGATGTAGAACGCGTACCTGAGCTATATGAAAGTTATTTCTGAGTAGAATCAATGTGTGAAGGGTGAATTTTTTAGCCTCCGAGATGAACTTGATAAAACTTCACATTAACGACTGCAATGTAATATTACGTTCTATTTATTTTACGTAACACACGACGATGCAATTCTCTATAGTTTTGAACGGTAGCTATTACATAACTATAAATAGTAATTTTTGTTGAATGTGATAAGTTTTTTTTCTTTGTTGTTGTATTCTATTGTTATTACATGTGTAATGAAATCGAAATTTATTTGTTATGTAGGTAAGATATATAAATTTTATTATAAAAACGACTTGTTTATTTTGCTGCTTTTATTTTTAAAATTCACAAATTTGATAAGCCTAATTCGAAAACTAATCAATATCGTAAAAAGCAACATAATATACGAAAATATTAAAAAACGTCTCATTATTGTTTGCTCATTTTATAATTAAGAATATATCCAAACATTATCCTATATATTTTAAAAACCTCTTGTTTACTAAAATCTATAAAGCATAAACTATAAAAGCAAGTTCGCAAAATGAATGAAAATACTACAAGCCTCGAAATATTACCGAACACCACTATTCTGAAAAAAAAAACTATGTTGCTTTCTAACATAATCCACAACAATTACTAAACATAATGATCCTCAATAAAATCTAAAATTGCAAAATATTAATTTACCGATCCTTATCACTTAAAACCATCGACATTACCAGATTATTCAATAACATTTGTCCTACAATCTGACATAATACGTAATTCTACAATTCATGATACACAAACTTAAACCAAAAGATATATAAGCCAAAAACATTTTTATCTCAATTTTTGTAATTGTTTAAAGTCATTTATAATAAAATATATATTCTTTAAATTTTTCATTTATTCTTACATTCAAGGCAAGACTGTGAGAATATAGTTTCAGTTTAACTGACAGTTAAAATATTTAAACGATCGTACAAATCTAAATATTAAAAGTACATTAAAAATATTAATATATAAAATCTGCTTCTGTGTGCCTAGTCCAAGTTTTGTATTAGACTATATGTCTTTACTGTTTCTCATTCAATACCACATGTTAATACTATCTGCAAAGATTTATGAAGTAAATACTGGAAACACTGCATCTCTAGAGGGACAGTACCAACTTGGACTAAGCATATTGGTTTGATTGTGTTATAAAGGTGTTTTATAAAATATATTTAGCCCAGAGTAGTTGATAGTTAACAAAATGAATCATTCACTTAATAATAATATTAAAACAAATAGCACGTTAAGACTTAATATATAATATATATTAATAAGAATGATCTTAGTAGTTTAGTATCTTATTAAAACTGTAAGTTTTTGAAGGCAAAATGTTGATGTTTTTAAATAACTTGTCGTGTGCAAGAAAAGGTTCTTTTTGAGTCCAAATTTTTTGAAAAATAATATTAAATTAATAATAGTGTATCCAACGAGCACGTAATATTAAGAAGGGTATTGTTTAATAACTACAACGTTGCAAAAAAACATAGATTTAGTATAAACTGAAAACAAAAGTATAAAAAAAAGTAAATGGAAACAAAAGAGCATGAAGGGGCTATTAATTATGAATCATATTAAAAATGAACGGACGGAAATGTGTATGTGAATAAATAATTTACAAACAAGATAGATAAAAAAAAACTTTAATTCTAAATCATAATCTTATGAATAAATTCAAACTCTATTATACTATCACAGTATAATATTTCATTAATATTATGAGAGAACACTAAAAGGTGCTTCCGCTACTATTCTATTCTCTCGAGATTTGTTAAAAAAATCTGAAATCAAAGGTACGTATGATGTTTAATATCAACTGTAGATTACCAGACAAACCATTTAAAACATAGCAGTCGTCATTAAATAATATTAAAAAGATATTGTGGTGTAGAGCTTCTATAGAATAATTGTTTTTCTGTTTGTTTGTGAAACTAAGAATATATCGAACTTGATCGTTAAATAATAATTTTAATAATTAAACCAGTAATAAAACAGAATCTATTCAAATTATAGTCTTAATAACTAACGGCTTGCAAGTTTGTAACCATAGATATTTGGGCAACAAAATAGCTCCTACCCGACTCCCTGTATTTTAAATACAGTTTTTTATAATTAAGAAATTAAAAATAATTTGTAAATTAAACTTGATAACATAAAATATATGATAAAAATAACGGTAAATCATCAATAATAATAGTTAACACAAATTTAGATGTATGTGTCCTTACCAAAAGCTCGCATAGTCAAACTAAATACGTTTTTTTTCCAGTTTCTCTCTTAAATAGAAAATAATAGTGCATGGATTTTTCTCCGCACGGAAGAAGTGAAAACTTCGTAATGTTGAAATGAAAACGGGAAGGGGTAGTAATTTATTTTTAAGAAATTGTTAAAGTTACTTTTAAGACCAACTCTATTAATATTAGTTACAAGTCACAATTGATTTCCCGCATGCGTTCAAGCGCCACGCATTACCTCTAGCTATATCTCCCCCCCAACACACAAGCGTTAAACGTCTAACGCAACCTTGTTGGAAGTCACAAGAAGTTTCACTTCAAAATTCATTCATATGATAGTTATATTAGATTTGGGTATAACTGAAAACGTTTCTTGTATAGTGTGACGTTGCTGACTTGTGATACAGGTAATTATCTGATCGGACACTTATAAACATTCTAATAATTATTCTATGTATATGTTAAAAGTGTTCAGTGAACTGTACTCGGGGTCTCTTCTCGGCGGAGGCGTCGTCTGGGGCGAGGTCGCGGGGCTTCACATGTCTCAGCGGCTCGGGCTTGTCGTCTTCATCAGAAACATACATGCGGGTCAGGTCTGAAGCCACGGATGCCGTCTCGCACACACTGATGACAAGAAACGACCTTGTTAGCTATTTTTATATACATAATATACTTTTTCATTACTTTTATCGGAGTATATCAGTCCCATTGTTACAATAACTATTGTTTTATAAGTACTGTGAAAAAAATACTGCATATTTAATTCAAAATTCTAAGATATGTGATGATACATCTGTACATACGGAGCATTAGCAGTTTTTCATTCATAAAACTTTACGCATTAGAGTATTATATTATATCTCATACAATAATGTTCGTTAATAAAAACATTATATGAATGTACTATGTAGTGTGACGATGCACACTTAGAATAAGCAAACAATTCGGATTCGAGCGGTTTTAAGTACGTAGTACATGTAGAGAGCCTTTTGTAGGTTAGAATATGTCATGCACACTTTATTTCATTAATCAAATATCATCTCTATAAATTTTACAATAATAAAAAAAAATGCTTATTATTAATAAAATGATGGATAACACTTTTTGATATCCCATAAATAATAATTGAAAAAACACAGTTAAAAATTTATCTTTTCCATATTGAGCTGTAAAGTTTGGGTTACATTTTATTTCCTTTCTTGAATATTTTCTTACTAATCAAATCAAACCGATTAATTATCATAATACTACATGGTTAACATCCTGTTGATGAGAAACTCTATACAGGGTGTTTTTTTCATGTCTAAGTACTAATCATAATATACCTATTATATTCCGAGTCGTTATTAACGTATCCGCTGCCGTCCTGCTTCATGTTGACGGCGGACGGTAACACTAGGGCCGGCGGGAGCACGGCGGCAGGGGGCACCTCCATCGACGACTTGGAAACCACCACCTCCTCTCTGTTAATATTGATCTGTACAAAAAGTATCAATCATTATATTTATATTAAAATAAACAAACAAATCTAAGACATTTAACAAGCATTACAAGACTATGATATTTATTTATTTAATAGGAAGCCGACGTGATACACAAAAAACTTATAACTACATTATAACATGATGGAACATAAATGTTTACAGTTGCGTATCATCACTTACAGGCTAACTCAACATGGGTTACATAATGTTTAGATCTTACTCCAAATTACTTATACCTACTTATTATGTATTATAGTACTTATTTAACACTTTGTAGTTCCATTCTATATTTTTTCATTTTTATATTTGTATACTTTATAAGTTTGTACTTCATCAATAAAATATAATTGCCAAAAATATTAAATTATAGATTATACGACAAAAAATATTATGTTCCCGGTAATGAGAATTAATTTATACGTAAGTATGTAAGTGTGAGTGTCAAACGCACGTTATTGTATTTTTTTTTAATATTTAGTGTATACATAACTCAAAAACATTATATTTTAGAAAAACATATTTTTGGGCCCTTTTTTTAACCGTACAAACTTTTTGCTGAGATAAATTAAGATTAGGTAATTTATTTGTAAAACCGCCTCCGAAAGATGAGAAAAACAAATTCCATAAAAATAAATAACACGAAACATAAAAAAAACATGAAGAACATAACGTCATTTACCTCGAATTCTGTTCCAATATAAAATAAACATCAACTGTAATATGAATCATTCGTACATATACTTACTTTCCTAAATCCAAAGTTATTTTTGTATTCCTGTGACTTTTGGACCATTTCCAACCAGTTGGGTTTATAGTCCTCGTCTGTAGTTGAAAAAGATGGTCCGGGCCTAAGTACGGAGAACACGTGAGTACATTCATAGAGGTTAACACGGTTCATGATACATACGAATAACATGCCCACGCACTTGTGACGTTAAATATACGAAAAAACGGTCACGCTGCAATTTCTTACATTATAACATGCTGATATCAACTAAATACGTTATATTTTCTATGTAAATACCAATTAATCTCGTAGTATTTATATACATTGTATTTAAAAACACTATTATTCATTAACTGTATTCCGAATTTCGTTACTAGTTTTTCACGTTATAACGAGCAAATCCAAAACGGTGTTATAATATTTTCTCGTTCTATATTTAATGCAACGATTACTAAAGTTTATACAATTTTTATGTGCTTTTATAATAAATGATTATAAATAAGTATACCTATTCCAAAAATTCGTGTTTTAAATGTGCGATATATATAAAATAATATATCCTATGTTGATAATCCTACTCAAGATTTTCGAGGTTATCTGTAAAGTTGACAAACATTAGCCGCGACGACAAACTTTCACAGTCGAGGTGTTTTTTAATCAAAAAAAGTCCAAACGAATTTAGAAGACGAATATTTAGAAAAACCATCCAATAAAATGTGTCTGGGATTTTTATAAAAAATAGACTAAATTGCACGTTACGTTACGTCGTTACGTTACATGGTTACGTTAGCAAATCCGACTTTAAACATAAGCGTAATATGTACATTATATATGTATATACAAATGTAGTTCTAATAAATATTATATATATAGTTACATGGGCGTGAAGTTAACGATGGTAGCGACGTGTTTCTGTTTGTGTATTTGGAAGTAGTCGTGTGTCCCGGGAGGTAGTTCGGACAGCACGCCGCGCGTCTGATACCCGCCGCCGGCACCACACGCGCTTATATCGCTCAGAGAAAACCTTAGCTTGGCTGGAAAAATTATATAAAAAAATTATTATATGAAATAATATCAGTATGCTTAGTCCACGTTACCATCGTGACGCTACATAAGTTTTTCATTAAAAATCTTGACATATTATAGTATTAATGTAGTTTAGTGAAAGAAATGGAAATCACTTCGTGTATAGCATGACGATTCAAACGTAGACAGAGCAGAAAGAAAATGGTTAACACTGATTATACACGTTTAGTTTATAAATAATCATGATATAACAATATAAACATATTATTATTATTATGTATTTTAAAAATTTACACAGTTAATAATTAGGTCAAGTGATATAAAAAAATAAAGTAAAGGTAAAGATATTCGCGAATACAGATTAAAAATTAAACTAGGTTTCTTGGTTATATTATGCAATATTATTGTTCCCTTTTTACACTTTTTCTGATGTTTTGATTACTATACAGCAACAGTGATCAAGGGAGATGAATAAGTCACTTTGTTGTAAAGTAATCGAAACATATCAATGTATGCAATGGTCACTTTTGTACTCACATTTATTGATAGGTGATATTTTCTCAGCTACTTCGTAAAGAAAATCAGGCGTCCAAAAGTTTGGTATTCTTATTAAAACTTTCCCGGTGTCTACCGGCATATGGAAACCCAGTTTATGTGCGAGCTGCAGGAACTTCAAGTCCTTACACACGGACGCTTGTTCATTGTTCCACGGAACCAGTGGAACGGATTGATTTAACACTGAAACATATACAAATTAATACAAATAAAATAACATTCTGAGATTTATTAAGATCATTTATCTAAATTTAGAAATTTTACTACATATAATTTTCTACAGATATTTAGCAAACGAAAGGAATATTTCAAAAAACACTTAAGTTTTGGCACAAAACCATGTTATAAATGGATATTATTATAATGAGAATACAATGAAAGTAAGTAACTATAAGTAAGTATAAGTATAAGACTCACACAAGGAGTGATATGACACGGGCGATATGACGGGCATGTCTGTATTCCTCTTCAGCATGGTGTCGAACACGTGTCGGTGCGCGTCCTGCGTGGTGTAGCTGCTCTGTCTCACGCGGTCACCCTCGATGTTGTGGTGGTGGGTTTTGTGTTCACGTGTATCTTTAGCGAAGCACGTCTCCAATAGAACTGCCTGCACCCAGTCTAAGAACAGCGACTTTCCATCCTGCCTCAGTTGTTCACACAGTTTACCGATCTCATTCTCTCTTTTATCTCGTATGGCTTTTTGAGTTCTTATCGCTGTCCACTTTAGATAATTTCTCGAATTCCTCTTTATTGATGATCAGTTGCCTGTAGAGCTCCTTTATGATGGACTCCCTCGTCTTAACAATCCCGTCTTCCTTCAACATCCTCAGGATTTCTTCCACCACGTCGACGGCTGTGTTACATTGCATGTAGTTCCAATTCAATGAAGATATCTCCTCTTCGCTCCAGCTATTAAAATGTAATGTACGTTTGTATAATAAGGTTTAAAACATTATATTAATGTTCTTCTAATTGTTGAATTGAAATTCAAATATAAAATATATAATGAAAAATTCATCGATACAAGTAAGATTCGAATCTACGACCTCTAGAAGACAGTGTTCTAATTGTTTTTACCAATTAATCTATCTTGACTCGATTATAATATATCTTATACAATTTTAGTGATTTAGTAATAATAGAATATTTAACACACCCATCAGTAACATTTTTCATTGTCATTTATTTTCTTAACGACGGATATTATTTTCTGGCGCAGGTTCTGGATCTATAATGTTTTCTTTAGCTTCATGTCGTCGTCGAAGATCTCCATTTTCCAGTTGTATGTTTTGAATAGTTTTTGTAACTTATAGGGTTTCTTGATAAACGTATTTATAACGTATTCAATGAGATCTGACCAGTCCTAAAAAACACCAACATAATGAGTAAGAAGAAATTTAATTCATGTTTATTCACCATTAAATAACATAATACTGGAATGATTACTTTATTAGCAACGTTTTAAATAACTAATTAAATGGGAAAATGATTTAATATTATTATTGATATTGAAACTAATATATGTGAAAAATAATAGAAAATATAGATAAAAACAATACATACATCACATATTTCGAATTCAGATTTCCATATGGATGTGAATGTCCTTTAAAATCTTTGGCTGGAACAGTGATATAAGACTTCCCAGCTTCTCCTCCTACATGATGCATCAGTGTAAAGATACAATCATTCACGAATTCTCCATTACCTTCATAATCCCTCTAATAGGAAGACCGTATTGATGCATTATCTCTGGTGATGCAAACCTGAAAAACATCATACATACATGTATAAGTAACAATCATTATGAAAAGTTACTCCTTTATTTATGTGTATAGTCACACATTCCCTTAATACGTAACATATAATAGTTTTAATGTAATATAAGCTTATACATAGTTTTATTTAGAGATTTTGTTCCTTAATCCAAGAATTCGTACAATACTTTTGTTACATTAGAAATATATCTTCTAACTAACTTCACTGTGTTGACCAAATCACGATTATCAGACTCTATCTCTTCTACCTGGCAATTTCCCAGCTTTTTGCCAGGGTCCTGCCTTACATGTTGTGAATTGTTTTTGGCTAATGGTTTTTTTTACGACCGGCCGCCTGCCTGACATCAACCCTCCTTGGGAATGCATCAATGAGTGATGTCTAAATACTATTAGAAAGTACATATGACTCTTATAAATCACATTGGTACTTGCCAGGATCGAAACCGCGCCCTTATGCATGAGAGACGGGGCCTTTAAACCACTAGGCCACCACTGACTTTATCATTTATAATACTCTATGATTATATATAAATATATATATCAATACCCACTGCTTTATATGATCCACCATAGCATTGGGGCCTTCATACTGTGGTAACTTCATGACACTGTCCAGGAACATCAACAGTATATGATTTGTCACTATTAGATCCTAAAAAAAATATAATCTGTTTAGCAACAATTAAAGTTGAGAAATTTATATAAATTTTATATATAATTCTACTTTTTCACTTGTGTTTTGTGCTAACATAGTCCTTATTTTTACGTACATTGATTTAAGTGGAATAGCATTTTATTCTTATCCTTATTAACAACATACGGGATGAAATTTTTATCAGAAAGATATTTTGGTATACCATCGCGAAAATCTATTTTTGTAATAATAACAAAAAATATATTTTTTATCAACTGGCATTTTGAAAGCAAACACTTATTGAGAAAATAATAAATATAAAATGTTTCAAGGCAGACATACGGTATATCATACATGTAACAAATAAGATTTAGAAAACTAAGTTTTAATGTTATTTTCGTATAAATAACTTTGAATGTAATATTAATGATAATGTATCACCTGAAGATATTGTTTTGAATGATACTTCGGATGATAGTGTCTCAAGAGTAGCACTAACAGTGACCGCAGTTCCTCAGTCTGCGCCATCTTTCATTTGAAGCTTCAGAAGCTTTTCCTGATCGTTGCTACTGAGATGGGCAGACTTCTTATAAACTTCAATGGCCTGAATGAATTCCCTGATCGCTGTCACCACCTAGCAAAATTAATTTTATTAAACATAAATTCAAGTACTTTATTTTTTATCTCTACTAATATTATTAATGTGAAAGTAACTCTGTCTGTCTGTCTGTTACGCTTTCACGCCTAAACCACTCAACTGATTTTTAAATGAAATTTGGTACAGAGATAGAGTTGACCCTTGAGAAAGAAACATAGGATAGTTTTTATCCGAGATTTTTGAAAGGTTCCCTTGGAAACGCGATATAACCGAACTCCCAGCGGGCGAAGCTGCGGGAAGAAAAGCTAGTTTATATATAAAACAGGTATATAGGTGGTAAGATATTTGAACTCACTAAATGTAACCTCCTTATACTCGGCTTTAAATCACTTCCGTCCAACTTAATGGCTAGTTCAAATTGCTCGCACAGGTTTGACTCCTTCAGCAGTTTAAATATAGAATTATTTCATACGACAGTACAGAACATACATGCTCTAAGTCCAATTCGATTTGAGTCGCAAATTTAAGGAAATAAGTGACGAGCCAAAAGAAATGGGAAGTATCTATCTCCAGTTGCACATTAGTAAGGATCTGGGTATGAAGGGTTCTAACTAATGAGTTATAGCCCCTTTAGAAGGAAATCCACTGTAAATTCCTTTAAAACATTTTTGATATGTCATCGTCTGTCGGCGTATTGTGTAGTAGACCTTGGACATTGATTTCTGAAAAATATAATCTATTTTATAGATTTGATATTTATGATTACTATAAATTAAAATTCATATTATTTTTGGCATACATATTGGCTTTTTCCTCGTTTGACGATCTTCTTTCTCTTCCTGTCTTGAAGCGTTACGCCAGCGCGAACTTTGTTGTTGGTTCTCTGTTTCGTGTTATGAGGTTTTTGATGTACTGGTTTTGTGGTGGGTAGTTCATCTTTTCATTGCTAGATGTGGATATCGACTCGCGGGTTTTTCTATCTGAGTGCCATAACCGCAATCAGACGGTTTTTCCGATATAATAGTTTTCTTCCTCGTTATTTTTTCATATTATGCGGGTTTGAATGATCATTCGAGATGTGATTGTTATCCTGTGAAAAATATATTTAGTATTAATATAAAATGACAAATGATAATTTCAAATATAAATTTGATCATAAACTTACGTTACTGCTGGACTCTTCATGATTGTCTTTGTTATTGTCTATAAACATATTATTTTCGTTGGATTCAGATGAATCGTTGGCTAGTTCATTTTCTTTTTGCGATTCGAACGACGGTTTTTCCGTTTTTCACTATTATTTCGTGAGGAACTATCCCAGCTGTTATTGACCGAATTTTGTTCTCCATTACTTTTGCGCTGGCGCCCGTGTCTGATGAGTCGGATGTAGGATCGGACGTCAACATGGGCGAGGAATCATCACTACCTGGACAATTAAATAAAAATAAATATTAAAATAATGATAAAAATTTAAAAAGAAACTGTGTATAAAGCACGTTTCATTTCGTTACCTCTATTAGGTGGCGAAGTATTACTTTTCATTGTCTTCCGGAACTCTCAGAGAGAGAAGCCTCTAACCAGAGGTTAAGCACGGTTTCTGCAGAGTAGTCACGTGCTGGTCCTTATACAAACAGAGCGATAATCTGCACCATCGTCACACCCCAGTTGATCTGAAAATATAAATAAATACAAAACACACACCTTCACTTGTCAAACACATTTTTTAAACTGTGTTTTATATTGAAAAAAAAATTACTCACTCACTCAGTAATGCGCGCAATTTGAATTTGTGACAGATAACTTACCGCGTCCGTGATATTCATCAATTTTTATTAGGACCTTGTCGATACTTTGGCTGAACAAATTCCATAGTATCTGATTTTGAAAACGGTACGAGGGTTGTAAGATGGGTTTATTGATCTCCTCTGGTATGTGTAGAATGTTGCGCAGTAACAGTAGACCGTTGCTGATATTAGTGCATTCGTCACTAGTAAGCTTTGAATTCTGATCTATTTCGGCGTTCTTCTTTAAGAAATCGATTACAACTTTCGTTACCCTATGGTCGGTAACTGCTGCTTTGGTGGAAGTAAGCAAATTATTTATTTCAAAAATAGTGTGTCTGCCTACATCCGTTTCTGCCAACTGAATCTAAAGACAGCAGACATTCTACTGGAATCGTTAGATTGACCAATATTTTTATCACCAAAACTATAGTCTTGTCATCTTTGGTGTTTATTAATAGTGGAATAGAGATCCTTCTTAATGTTTTGACCGAAATTTATGCTTCTGCGATATGAAACGAAGTTGTTTGTCTTCCGTCAAAATATTCTGAAGTATTGATTCCAAAAACAGCTACAAAAAAAATCAAAAATCAAAAGCTTGTCATAGACATAATAGAAATAATTTTTCATACATACCATTATAGTTTTCATTTATGTGATATCCATCTCCGTTTGTAAATCCGAGATTGCTGAAAGTACTATGGATCTGTGGACTGCGATGAACCCACTCCATATTTTTAACTGGGAATAATAAAAATTCAGAGTATTAAAACGCGGCTACAAACAAAAATTATAGAAGCTTTATAAACAATAAGAAAAGTATTTGCATTTTACAAAGTTTGTAAGAATTCTCATTCATGATTCTTTCTACGAAACGACGTTTGTGCTAATGTTTCATTAACCGCCGAAGCTAGTTTCATAAAAAATAAACAAGATGGCATACAAAGTAGTGTAAACACTAAAACATAAAGCGTCAATCAACAAGATTGCTATAAGATAAAGATATAGGATAAACATTATGAATATATTTAATGACAACAAAAATAATAAATATTCAAAAATCTTCACAACTGATATATAAAAAAATATTTCTTGGTTCAAAATTTTTCGTTGTTATTTCGATAACAAAAGCATATGCATGTTACTGACGTTTAAATTTATTTTTAATGTGAATTATTATCAAGAAAATTATATGTAATCAAATCGTTATTTAATCAAATCCTGTCTTATTGCAGATATATCCGCAAATAACTTTGAATAGTAATCTGGATACGACGTCAGGATCTCAGAAATAATAGAAAACGTGCCGTCGGCCCACGGGCGACCGTCAGCTATATATTATCATCTTATAGAATTGTTATGATCGTGCTACCTACGATAAAACTCGACGTATTAGTATATATATAATATAATTAAAAATATAATCAAATAATCACTTGAAGTAAACTCACAATAATAAAAATTTAAAATATAACGGATATTACACAAAACACAACACACATTGTTATAAAAACTTTATTAGCATTAATAAATAATTAAATGTTGATAGTCGTATCTCAGTTCGTGAAAAAAAAAAAAAATATACAGGAAAAAAAACGTGAGCTGTCTTTGATCCAATCCAGCAACAGTAGGTTCAGTATAATCACGTGGCCGGGTACACGTGCGCCCCGACCGCAGTAAATACTATCAAACGCTGTGGAGTATAGACGCTACGGACGTCGATCGTTACGACGTTCATTGTACACTTCACTACTTATTGTTTCACGGCAAATTAAATTTATATTTGATGATTTTGTTTGATGAATTTCTATTGTATGCAAATTTGTTACATTTTATTAAAGAATAATTGAAATTTAGTAGCGTTTTTTTATTTTTCTAAGTATCTTTACTTCTCCCTTTGTATGCTTCCTGCTATCCGATGAAATAGGAAAAATATTTGGAGTATATTAAATATACACTTTGCAGTTCAATTTCCATCTAAGCCAAGAATGAGGTTTTCACAGTTAAGATATAATTGGGCTCTAATATTGACAAACAAGTTTTTTTAGAATTTCTGACACATAAAATGTATGGCATCATTTTAATCATAAATGTATTCTTCCTAGAGGTTATTGAGGGTTCTCTGCAATCTTTGCAACTTATTTGCAAATGCAATCAAGCTACACCGCTTACTACAAAAATACAATACAGAAGGCTTTTATGCAGTATCCCCATGGTCGGGAAAGAATCTATGAGAATATAGTATTGCAAAATAACAGTAAAATTAACAAAAACTGATTACACCCCTCAAGCATCACAGCAAGTGGATTGAACAATAAAAACTGATAGACAACCCAACATTTTCAAATGAAAAAAGGTATTGTAGTATTTCTAGGTCTGTTGGAGTCCAATAATATAAGCCAATAAGTATCATAAATACCGACCATAGCTTAGTTTTCCTAACTGATTGGCCGATTAAAGAGAACAGTGATGTGATAGGCTGAACAAATTACACATAATCCACCAAAAATATTATAACATACCAAACAATTTTTTCTAAAAAAACTTACATATAAATGTAATCTTAAATAAAAATTACCTATTGATTCCTTATATGAGTATCTTATACCAAGAAAAGTGTTAATCCTTCCATATTTACACCAAATATTAACTGCTTTGTCCATAAGCTATTCCAAAAGATAGAAGCACGCTCAGGGATAAAATTACAAAAATACTCAAACAATTGTTATATAAAAAGCTACAAATAATAATTTTTATTATTTAGTTAATGGCAATTCAATAGTCCATAATAGGGTCCTTGATTGCTAATGCTTAATTACTTAATAATCATTTTTTAGTTTTATCACTAAAATAAACCATTTTACTGCCACTTTCACTAATGTGAAAAGATATCTGTCAGTAAATGTCTTGTATCTAATTTTTACTATGCTACTACTTGTGATGATGGATGTATGCAAATTATTTTTACCTAAGAAATAAAACATTACCAAATATTTTTTCTTTTTTTACAATTAATTTTTATGAGTAATACACATAATTAAAAACAGATATCTAATAGTTCATTTTACTATAGACAATCTTTATGTAAGGATTTATTTTTAAAAGTTAATTAATAGGTACCAAAGAACCATGAATTATCAGGGAGAAAAGGCTAAAACTTGAAAGTGTTTGAGTAATTAATCTTTGAAGATATCTATTACTTAATAAGATTCAAATAATATACAATAATATAAATTTAATATTTTTATATGATAGAAGAATATTATGAAAGCATATAACAATAATATAGTGAAAAAAAAAATTACCTTTATTTTGTTTTTTCAATAATGTTGTAAATAAGAGCATTAGCAAAGGCTTCCACAAACTATTAAGTTTTTAGACGCAAAAAGGTCAAGTGGCACAATTTAAAAATATGTTATTAACCTTCTTCAAATTAATATTTCATATAAGTAAATAATTTCCAATTTTCATTATTGCTTTAAATTTAATGTTTATACTGTGAAATTAAATTGCACACTGAAACAACTATACTAAGCCCAACAACTCCACTAGACTCGTAGCACGGGTTCCAATATTACAATCTTAGAAGACGTAAACACTTGGTAATATGTCGAATATAATACGACAAGGATAAATAGACCATAATTTTATAGGACGGTCGTTCTACTATCGCACATTTCTAAATTCTGTCCATAACAGTCATATAATTACGAACAAATATCACAGATGGCGCTATCAAGTCGTGTACCTATTTAAAACCAACAATTTATAGCTAATGGACCTATTTTATAATTTTAATTTATCCAGTAATTTTCCTAATTGTGATTATAACATAATTAAAAAAATATTCAAAGATAACAAATGAAATTGAAAAATAAAAACAGATCGGCAAATTGGAATATTTTAAGTAAATACGTCAACGGCTCAGCCAAAAACAAAACTTTTTTCAGTCCCAACAATTTGAAAATGTCTCGCTCTCCTTCTTTGTTCTATTTCTCGCTCTCCTTCTTTCTTTATTTATTCTTGATTTCGTGCTAAATCCTTATTTACCATACCTATTCGAAGAAAAAAACACAATATAAATGTTTATTATTTTCTATTATTGCACATATGTTAAACCAATATTTGTGCTTTCTCTACAGTCTATTAAAATTTAAGAATTGCCTCATAGTATTTGTTGATGAGTTAGTGTTTTTTTTTTAATTTATAATTAACATATTTTTTAGATTTCTGTGATAACCAGAGTAATTTGCTCTGAGATAAGCTCAACATATTATTAAACCAAAAAAAAAAAAATATGTAATTTCGAAAAATTCTTTATTAAAAAAGCTTTACTCTTGTAACTTATAATTTCAACTATAGTTGCTAAAGCTCCCAAAAAAAAATTTTTTTCTCCAGCAAACTAGAAGATCCCCACTAATTATTCAAAAAATAGAGGTAGATTATCTATTTCATCACAAGTGTCGTTTTTTTTCTTATGCTTGTTTGTGGAATCACTTTTTCGGCAAGCATGCAAAATGACCAATGGGATGCTGCTGATGGACAAAATATTTTCCCACAGTTTTCAGAGCAAAAGCTATGAAAAAAATTGCTACTAACATCAAATGCTTTGTTTCCAGAACTAATCGATCCTTTTTGAAATCAGTTATGTTTCAAACTTTAAATAGTCATTAAGATCTATTGATTAAACAAATTATATTGGAGTATATCGATGTTTAGAAATTGTACAGCAAACGAAAAATTACTTTTTGTCAATTAGAAGTATACGAAATTTTTTAAAACGTGAAATAATTTGGGCACGTCAGTAATTGAAAATATAAAAACAAATATACTATAAAACATCATTTATTTTATCTTTTAGATCAATTACTTAATAAATTTCATTATTTCCTGTTAATTCTGAATATAACACAAGTAGCAATTATGACGATACATTTTTTAATATAAATACTCAATAAAAAATGGCGATGGCACAAAAGCACTTTGAAAGCTGCCAGTACAGTACAGGTCAGTGGCAGTCGTTAGTCCAGTGGTAATAATGCAGGTCAGGGATGAAAAGGCACAATACAATATATAAAATTATCAAAAGATGGGTTAAAAATAAAAAATACATATTTGATAGAACACCCTTGGGTTATGTCCAGAGGGTAAAACAAATAATACACAAAGTGCTTTGCTCACTCTTTCTGGAGGAGGAAAAAGAGAAATTATGAAAAAAAAAAACAATATTTTATTATTTTTCATTCACATACTATAAAAGTGAAATATATCAAACCACATTTATAATGAAACTTGTAAATCAAACGCATCACT